TGCTTAGACATCACATAGGAATGTGCTCAGAGCTCCTGGACGACATTCCCGCTCTGAGCTCTGAGCTCTGAGCTCTGTTTCCTCTGGCGAGCCTGTCGGTGCCGACTGTGTGGAGGCTGATCGGTGCTGCTGTCACGAAGAGCTGCTCTCCTAATGCTTCACTGACGTGGCTATCGGACTCACAGCTGAGCGTAAATGAGATATAAACGTTCAGAAAATTGGCCCCAGCAGATTTTACTGGCCTGCTTGTCTGAATCAGATAAGCGGGTCTTTATCAACAAGTGCACAAGATCACCAAAGCGGACGAGCCCAGCCACAGTTTCTTTATAAAAAAGGGGTTTCAGAGACAAAAGAGGAAGTTTCAGAATGTTTTCTTGGCTGGTGAGCAACACTGATCCTGAGAAGAAGGTCTCTCTCCCTCTCTCTCTCTCTCTCTCTCTCTCTCTCTCTCTCTCTCTCTCTCTCTCTCTCTCTCCCTCTCTCTCTCTCTCTCCCCCTCTCTCTCTCGCTCTTAGCACTGCAAACTTTTCTGTGCTTGCCAAGATTTAAATATTGTAATATAATATAATATATTATAATATAAGATTTGCAAATATGAGATTATTGTTTTAAAAGTCTAGTTTCCATCTTTGAATTCATGATAAATTCTTTAATTGACCATAAATATCTCAAGAACTCTTAAAGGTGCCATATAATGCATTTATTAAAGAGAACGCTGTGCGTTCCTGTGATTTTATCACGGGGAAGGGTGTTGTTAGGCACGACGTGAAGCAACGCTGGGGCTGAATCTCAAACGGCTCCCTACTCCCTACATAGTGCTCTACATAGGAATTTAAACACTGGATCCTGCAGCCCAACAGAGCAAAATACAGCTAAGAAATAGTCGTTTGGGATTCAGTCACATCCATATGATGCACTGTTTGGCTGTAGAATTTCTAAATTTTTATATCTAGAACACTATTTATGGAGTACGGAGCCGTTTGGGACTCAGTCTGGGTTTGACGGTACAACTGACCGAAACAAGAACATTTGAAGTGACATTTTTCAGACTTTCATTCTGCTGTTTTCCAGTTAATCACATCGTAAGTGCTTTAATTCACGCCTGTGATATAAATGATGCATGTTTGCACTCTGTTAGCCTGTCAGCTAGCTGACCAGCCCAGTTCTTCATCAGTATACTCAGTGGTCTATGTGAGCAGCATGAGAGTCAAAAATGATTCCATTAACAGCACAAGGGTTTTTCTGATGAGCTTTGCTCTGATTGGCTGGTTTACAGAGAGGCGCTGCAATGGCTCACACAGGCAGGAAATTAAAGTGAACCTCTGCGTAAATAAGCAGGTCCTCATACGATTCACCCATGTGGAAAAATATATAAACATGTATTTTTATGTATTTGAAATGCATTTCAAACACACTGCAGTCGACGCTGAAATACACTCCAAACAGTAAAATGTATTTCAGAATATTTTGCCATATTAACCATATTAATAATTAAATATTATTTTTAAATGTATGGTGAAATGTTACACATAGAAATGTACCAGACAGAAATAAATGTATGTAATTGTGTTTATCAAATCCATTTGAAAATGTATGAAAACAGCCAAAATCCTGTCTGATGCTCTTCACTGTCTGATACCTTTAGAGATGAATTTCCAGTATCTTCATTTTAAATCTGATCAAATGACCCTTTAACAGGACAGAAGCGAGTGTTGTGGGTATTGATACTCTGTGAAAATCCAGTTATGATCTGATATCTTGTTTAATTGAAGTACATGTGTGTGAGAGTCTCGCTGCAGACGTACATGGTTAATGTAAATAGGGAGCAGATCACAGAAGTCAGTATGTTTAGTTACATCTCAATTCAAGTGAGGTCAGGCTTTATTGTCATTTCGCTCCATACAAGTACCCAGTGAAACGAAACAACGTTCCTCCAGGACCAACACAGGAACACAAGTGCGAAACAGTACAATAAACACAGTGCAGACAATACAGTACAGTAAATAAACACAAAACAGGACACAGGCAGCACACGGTACTGAGAGTAAGTGGAGCTGTGCAAAGGAGGATGGAACACACTATGACATATTAGCAGCTTAGCAGAGAGCCTGGCATATATGAGCATAGCAGTCACTGAGGCAGCAACCAGAGCAGCAACATACATTTTAAAATATATCACTGTTGTCGGAAGAAAACCTTGTATCTCTAAATTGGTAACTTTACAGGAGAAGGAAAAAACATACTTTACTCTTAATGTAAGTCAATGGAACCAGACTTTTTTCCAAGTCATTTTGGGCCGTTTCTTTTGGTCCATTCATCATGAAATTTACACACAATGTAAAGGCCAACAGGCATTTTCAAATTATGTCAAAAACTGAAAAATGACCAAAATGGAGATACGAGGTTTTCTTCCAACAGCAGTGATATATTTAACAAATACATTTTTCATACATTGAACATTTATTTATTTTAGCTCATCTTTTTTGCAGTGAGGATCCAGAAAGCTAGGCGTGTGATGCTGCTACTGACTGCAAACGACAAAAACCTTGTTTATACTCAAACAGAAAGAATGCAGTAGTGAGGCTTTCACCCTTTTTGGATATTTGGGTGTTGCTGCAGCTGCTGAGGGGAGTAGTGAAGGTAGGAGGAGTGAAGGGGGCGAGTCTGTGGTGTTTTGGAGCGCAGCCATGATATTTAACAGTTTCCTCTGTGAGTAAATCTACAGCCCCTCTCTTCCTGCCCCGCCGCTCCAGCCAGAAACCGGACAAAAAATACCCCCTTTACTTACACTTGCACGTCTACACACACACACACACACACACACACACACACACACACTCACACACACACACACACACACACAATCGAAGACGCATCTACACTGCATAAACGTCAATAATTCATCAATCTGTATGGGAATAAAATATCAACACCTTGATAGAAGAAGTAAACAAACTGAAAGATAAAACTGTTGAAATGAGCTTTATTGTTAAGTATGTTGTGTCTAATAAGCTACAGAGAAAATGGGGCTCCTAACAACCACCTGGAAGAGCTGGTCGACCCCAAAACTGCCCCCATCAGATAAACAGCACTTAAAGCTTTCATCTCTGAGAGAGAGGAGAAAATCAAGCTGATCAGATCTGAAAACATCCACAGGTGTTTCTGTCCATCCTTCCACTGTGAGAAGACGACTCAGCGCTGTGGGTCTGAAAGGATGTGTAGCTGATCAAGAAGAACCTCACTGAGAAAAGGAGACGGACACATCAAACAAAGAAGCTGAACGATGGACTGACCACCCCAGAGTCCAGACCTCAACACCACTGAATGTGTTTGATTACTTCAGAAAATGATCAACCAGCTTCTAAGACTGAACTTTGGAGGTGTGTCTGCAGATTCTTTGAGGAACTGAAAGTGAGTCTCCTGAAGAGAGTGGAAGCTGGAATGAAGGTGAAGAGTGACTCACTGACTCAGTTGATTTAGCTGTTGGGACGTCTGTGTGAGTTTCTGTTAAATATGTTTTCTACTTGTAATTAATATCCGTTTTGATTATATATGAAGGGTTTAATTCCAAATTATACAACAGTGAGTTCCGGCCACGCAAGCTGATTGGTTGAGCAGTGTTCTAACTGTGCTGTTATTTCACCATAACATCACGTTTTTCACAAACACTGTATCACTCCGCTGAGCGTTGCTAAGCAACGACTTTGACAGCTGTAGGAGACGCTCAAGACATTTGAACGTTTTTACTTCTTACTTTGCCACAAACAGAAAACGGACACTTTTACGATCACATTTGACCGACAGCCGATTTGGTCAGACGCTGAAGATGAGACGACACTAAACTCCCAAACTGTCATCACCACTGAGCAGCTTTTCAGTCAGCAGCTGTGACAGAAGAACAGCTAAACAACCTGGAATCAGCCAGAAATGAACCCAACACCATTCGCCAAACTAAATGGGCTGTAAGATGCTTTACAGACTGGCTGGAACAAAACAACATTAATACTGATCTGGCAAAAACTGACAAAAGTGAGCTGAACTTGATATTGCGGCAGTTTTATGGCTCAGTCTGATTTGGTCAGACTCTGAAGATCAGACTACACGTTTGGTGAATGGTATTGGGTTCATTTCTGGCTGATTGATATCGCATATGCTGCATATTCCTCTTATTTTTTTAACTGTGCTGTTAATGCACTTAAAATGAAATATCTTTGGGAATAAAGTTAAGATTTACTTCCTCTTCTTCTTTTTCTTCTTCTTCTTGGCCAGCTCTTAAAGGGGAACTCCACCTACTTTCCAAAATTAAATTAAGTAGCTGAGACATAAACAGAGTCGTTCAGAGGTTTGGTGTGAAACGCTCCACTTTAGAGTCAGAACTGTTCACAGTGGTGGTGATAGGAACCAGACGTCCACCTCTAAAAGCTCCCTCACAGAAAGTTCCTACATGAAATAGTCATGAATTCACTGACTGATGACTGAGACACTGTTTTATGATAGTTTAGAGAACTTAAACTCCATTCATGGTGGAGGGATACATGCAGGGCGTTCTAAGGCAAAATAGTCCCCAAAGAAAACGTATTATTTCAGATTTTCCACTATTTTCCATCATCAACGTTCCATATAAACTCAGAAGACTCGTGTAGGTTCACTGGTGGTTCTGGATAGTAAATAAACTGTCTATATTTGTGTTGTAGTCATGGCGACCCCTGGTTCCTATCACCACCACTGTACAGAGATCTGAACCATTTCACACCAAACCACTCTGAATCACCCTCAACCATTGAATTACACTGAAACTTTGAAAAAATGGGTGGAATTCCCCTCCCCAGAGGATTTAGCTGTGTTTGTGTGTTCTGTGAGAACATTTTGAACACCTCCTGTCTTCAGCAGGCTCCTCCCTCCAGCTCCATCCTCAGCACAACAAAGTATTAAATTCCAGACCACACCCAGCCGACTCGGGGCGCTGAGAGATCTGTGGGGGGCGGGGCTTTCGGAGCCCCTCCCTCCCTTCCACTACTACTCCTTCTGCCTGCAGTCACGTTTAGCTCCTACATCACGTTGCTCTCACATCTGGCTGCTCCTCACGCGCGCTGGGACTCTTCTCACCTCTTCTCTTCTTCTGCAGCGGTGAGTCTTTCATCTGATCTCATTTCTGCGCGAGCTTTATCACTACGGAGGGCTCAGGAGGGGTGCGAACTTTTTTCATCACAGGCTCTGGAGCAGCTTTCCTTGCAAAACTTCCAGAGTCCAGACAGAGAAAGGGGCGTTGTCGGGCAGGGGCAGCGCGCGCGCCTGTACAGAACCTCTCAGACGGGACCTTAATTGAATAAAGCCAATTAGCCCAGTTAGGCTGGTTATGTTTTGACGCCTAATCCTGTCTGGGCACGCGCTTTGAATTAAGTGACGTGCTGAAAAAGTCGCTTTCTTCTCTGTAGCGCGCTTCAGATCTGCTGATATCAATAATAACAATAATCGTGGTTTAATAGATGTGATTATGGTGTGATATAAGCTGTTGTGGTCTGGTTTCAATTCACAAAGTTTGTTTTTTACTTTCACGAGTGAAGTTATCTTGAAACTCTTGTTCAGAATGGCGCCCCCTGCTGACACTGAGTAGTATTGCATACATTAGCTTTATGCAGATGTTATATGGGCAGATATTCAAGTACTGTGATAATGAGCAGCCTGGTTAATGTTCCTTTGTGCATTTTTGAGTCTATCTGTGCCTAAAGGGGACTTTCTCCACTGATTCTGATTATATACATGTATATATACATACTTTACTTTTAATGTAAGTCAATGGAACCAGAATTTTTTCCAAGTAATTTTGGGCCGTTTCTTTTGGTCCGTTCATCATGTAATTCACACACAATATAAAGGACAGTAGGCATTTTCAAATTATGTCAAAAACTGAAAAATGTGTGTGTGTATATATATATATATATATATATATATATATACACACATATACATATACACACACACACACACATCTGGCCCAAAGTTCCCTAAAAGTCCATGTTTCACTTTCAAAAATAAGTTTGCTTAAAAATAACTCGCTCTTCCTGCCGAGCTGTTGGAAAAGTCGAGCCGCCTGTTCAGATAAAGGCTCTGTGGAAGTCGACTGTTGCCCCTCTGCAGCTTTGCATGTCTGCTTTTTGCATATCTGCCATTGGATCTTGCGAACGCGTCTCTGTGAGTGTCTCTGTGAGGGTGTAATTGTGCGTGTGAGCCTTCAGCACATTCCAGAGGGCTGTTTTTGGTGGGGGGGGGTTTGGTGGGGATGGGGGGGTTGGAGGGGAGTGGGCTGTGTTTTCAGGAGGCCTCAGTGTGGAGTGGATTTCCGGAGGCCCGCCGGTCACTCTGCGAGCGCAACAAAAACACAGCCAGCCCAGCCCCAAAAACGCCACGCCCGCCGGACATGCATGTGGGGGCTCGATACGAGGGGTGAGGGGTGCAGAAGGCAAAAATCACCCCCTTGTAAAACTGCAGAAGCCCCTTTGCATCCCCTTAGAAGGCAACAGAAGCACGCCGGACTTTTATATGAATACTTTCAGACTCGTAGCTGAAATGACTGGAGAAACAATGTGGAAAGTGCAGATTCTAAACAGATTTATAACAAACGCGTTCTAGATTTTAACTGAGAACAGCCTCTGAAGTGATGTGTGATTATTTTGGGTAAAAAGGTGAATTGTAGTCCATTTAAATTACACTGGAATGCCAAACAGGTTCTAGATATTAACTGGGAACGATCTCTAAAGTGCTGTGTGATTATTTTGAGTAAAATGAAATGACTAACAGGTTCTAGATAGTAACTCAGAACAGTCTCTAAAGTGCTTTTTAGTTATTTTGGGTAAAATGTAGTCCAACTAAGTTACATTGGAATACCAAACCTGTTCTAGATAGTAACTTAGAACAGTCTGTAAAGCACTGTGTGATTATTTTGGGTAAAATGATGAATTGTAGTCCAAATAAATTACACTGGAATCCCAAACAGGCTCTAGATTTAAACTTAGAACCATCTCTAAAGCGCCATGTGATTATTAGTACTGCGTGATTATTCATGAAACGATGACTTGTAGATAGATAGATAGACAGATAGATAGATAGATAGATAGATAGACAGATAGATAGATAGACAGATAGAGAGATAGATAGATAGATAGATAGATAGATAGATAGATAGATAGACAGACAGATAGATAGATAGATAGATAGATAGATAGACAGATAGATAGATAGATAGATAGATAGATAGATAGATAGAACTTCATTGATCCCAAAGGGAAATTGCAGTGTTGTAGCCCAAGTAAATTACACTGGAATGCCAAACTGGCTCTAGATTTAAACTTAGAACAGTCTGTGAAGTGCTGCGTGATTTTTCTGGGTAAAATAATGAATTTTATTCCAAATAAGTTACACTGGAATGCCAAACCGGTTCTAGATAGTAACTTAGAACAGTCTGTAAAGCGCTGTGTGATTATTTTGGTAAAATGATTAAATGTATCCAGCTAAATAACACAGAGTAAAGGTTCTAATAAAGGACAGTTACATATCTCTGGTAAATACAATCGTACACTAAATTCCACTGTAACGTCACACGTTTTAGCAGGAAAGGAAATCAGAAGCTCCTCCAAGTGGCGAGTAAGTTATATGGAGTAAAATGACACAAATACAAAGTTTTCTGAACCCAGTAGAACCACAGTAAGATTCGCTGCTTTCACTTACAGCCCAGATCCAGTTTGGTTTATAGACAATAAACAGATAAATACTGTATAAGACTCTGTTCTTCATCGATCTACAGTCTTTTTACATCATATAACTACCAAAATAATCACAGCACTGTGGAGTTTGTACCACACACTTACCCAGGTAATACCTAGAACCTTCTTAGGCATTTCAGTGTAATGTAGATAAACTGCTTTGGAACTTCATGACCTACTTTGGAGTTTGTAACTCAGACATAACCTAGTTAATACTCAGAACCTAAAGGACTGTAAAAGAGAACATTACCAAAAAGACTGACGGAGAATGTGTTGGTTTAGAAAATGGTTCCGTGTAGCACCAAAAAGGTTCTGCTGTTGTTACAAGCCATTGTTGAACCCTGTTTGGTGCTGTATAGAACACTGTTCAAAACGATTCTGTATAGAATAGAACACATTCTCCATCAATCTGAAGAACCGTTTCACCGTGCGGAGAACCATTTACACATGAAGTGGTTTGATATAGAAACAGAACCACTGCCTTCACTAAAGAACCCTTGAAGATCCGTCTTTTTAAGCGTGTGTGATTTACGGCCTGGCTGCCGATGGCGGGATATTTATCCTCAGTTTGTGTAGCATTACAGCGTGTCTTCCTCTGGCGGCGCGCCCAGACCGGCTCTCTGGAGAGCGCTTATAGCTCCGCGTCTGGAGTTAACACGGATAAAGCTTCTTCCCACATCCAGCAGAGCCAAACGGTCTGTAAGGACCTGCACGTTCAGTCCAGGGTTGGGCAGTGTGACAACATCCTATTGTTATTGTGATACATTATAGCTGCGTCCCAATTCAGGGGCTGCGTCCTTCGAAGGACGTGGTCTGTGAAGGCGTGTCCTTCTAAGGCTGCTTAGACCCGCAAAGGCTGAACCGAAATGAGATGGTCTGCTCTACGGCGGATTTCCTGTTTGTGTCACAGCACCGCTGTTCCCGTCCTCACCACTGCGTCACGAAACGCCGCTCTTGTCAAGTTCTTTTAAAGTTCTTTAAAGACCAAAAACTTTGATTTTAGTTTTGTAATTTATTATTATTAGAGCTGGAGATGCTTCTCTCGGTCGGCTCTTTGCTCGCTAAAACAAAACATAAGTGTAAGTTTTGGCTTCTTTAACATTTGTATTGTTTCCTAGCCTTCCGCCCAATGACAGCTGGGTCCAGCACCTCACCGTGACCCAGAAGGATAAGCGGTTTAGATGTTGTATGTATTGTTACCTATTCAACTCAGTTTAAACCCAACACTTACATTTAAAGTGTCTCCTCCGCCGCCGTTCGCTCCTCTGCTGACGCCGCCATGTTCTTGAACCCTCGCCGGCACACAGTGAACCTCGAGATATCATTCACTAGTGAACACACACACTAGGGGGCAGTGAGCACACTTGCCCAGAGTGGTGGGCAGCCCTATCCACGGCACCCGGGGGTTAGGTGTCTTGCTCAAGGGCACCTTGGTCACGTACTGTCGGCTGAGGGGATCGAACCGGTGACCTTCCGGTCACAAGGCTGGTTCCCTAACCTCCAGCCCACGACTACACTCTTAAAAAAAGATGGTTCTTCAAAGGTTCTTTAGTAAAGAAAATGGAATATAGAACCATGAACACTCAAAGAACCTTCTGGATGATTAAAGGGTTCTTTGCATGGTAACACGATTCTTCAGATTGATGGAGAACGTGCTGTAGATGGTTCTATATGGAACTTTTTTGAGATGTGTTCTATATAGCACCAAAAAGGGTTCTACTGTTGTTATGATACAAGCTTGTACGAGCTATACGGTCAGTACTTCTAGAACACTGACCAACTGCATGGATCATAAAAAAGGCAGACCAGTTATAGAGAACAACAAACATCAGACATGTATATCAACTGCGTAACTTTGTGTTTTGATGAAAAGTGTGATTTTGTGTGTGTACAGCTGTGTGAAGCTGTGTTTGTGAGTCGTGTCCTGGCTGTGTTTCAGTTTTAGTGCGCTAAAATTGTCAATGAACATGGACAAAATGGAATTTTCAGTCATTAGTTTTAATAAAATAAACATAAAACATCAAACTCAGCTAATTAATCAGAGCCATTGCTTCACCTGTTTTCCCCTTTTCTGTATTTGAACATTTTATACTAAACTTAAAACCTTATTCTCTGTTCATTTTGCTCTTTTGTTGTTGTTTGCTATCTGGTGTCAACCAGCGGAGGATGGGTTCCTCTTTTGAGTCTTGGTTCCTCTCAAGGTTTCTTCCTCTCGCTCTTAGGGAGTTTTTCCAGAGCCGGTTTATGAGGACCCTCCACTTCCTATTTCCCCTGTTATATCAAAAACAGGACTGAACAACAGCAGAGGGCGCCAGCGAGGGAGTCCTCAGTGAATGGGAGTAAAAGGAGCTCAACAGCTAAAAACGA